GCACAAGAGATGTGAGCCATTCTCAGATCCAGTGGAGGACTCAAGGCTCAAGGGGAGAGCAGAACCACTAGTTGGAAGGAGCTGGGTCCTGAATGAATGCTTAGAACAGCGCCTACCCCACCCAACCGTCTTGGGACTATGATGTGAGAAAGAAAGAAAGCACTGAGGTTTTGTGACAGCGATTAGCACAGTTAGCATATCCTGATGAATACATTAGGACTGTGGCAAATGCCTCAGAGAACTATGTGAAAGGTTAAAACTGAAGGGGGTGGTACGTAAAGTATACCTCAATAAAGCTGTTAATTTAAACAAGAAAGTCCAGGGGGCCCTCGAGATATACTCTGACCTCACCCCTACTCCCACCCCACCCTGTTCCATTTGGCTCTTCCTAATTGTTTCTCAAGTCCTACAGAATGCTTCCTGCTGTGGCCCTGTCAGGAATACCATAATTTGGCCATAGTCTATGCTCTCTCTCTCTCTCTTTCCTTCTCTCTCTCTCTCTCTGTCTCTCTCTCTCTCTCTCTCTCTCTCTCTCTCTCGGCCCCTTCTCCCATTCTTGACTACTTAAGGAAATTTCACTCTTCTGAACTTGGACTGCAGTATATTATTTCCTCTGCTAGAATGCTCTTTCCCCTCGCCTCTGCCTGCCCAACTCTACCTGATCTCCCTGCCACCTCTCCCAAGCCTTTCCCTCTGAGAGGCTCAGCTGGAAAAGACAGCACTCTGCTGCTCTGTACAGTTCTGAAGGTTTGTCTTATGTTCCCCACTGCATGATGATGATCAGTGGACATTTTCTCTGCCCTGCCAGCTTGCCAGCACACAGATGATATTCAATAAATGCTAAATGAATGCATGAACCAATGGTAATGAATGCATACATCAATGAATAATTAAATGGAATTCCACAACAGCGGCTCGGATCAGAGACCAATTCCCTCCAAATGAGTCCAAATGTGACCATGTTTCCTTTATGACATTCTGCCCAGTGTGATGGCCCTCCAGCTAGATAAAGACGGAGCATCCTGGCACAGGTCACTGCTTGTGAGAGGCAGACACCATGGTCCAGCTCTGGCCTCCACCTGACACATCAGACTCATGTGGAGAGAAGGAGTCTGCCAAGAACATGAAAAAAAAGAAGGAAAAAACCCCACTTAATTAAGAAAGTATGGGAAGTAGCTTAAATTTAGACATTCTTAAGTAAAAATAACTTTAGGTAAATACTGTTTTTTGAACCTTTATTGACGTATAACGCACACACAGAAAAGTGACCATCGAGCGTACAGCTTAATGACTGCTCACAAATGGGTCACCCGGGAGCCAGCGCCTCGTCAAGAAGCACATTACTGGCAAGCCCGAAGCCCCTCCCCCCTCGAGTCGGTAAATACTATTTTAAAAGAAAAGGAAGGAAGGAGAGAGGGGAGGGGTGGCCAGGCAACCATTTTAGAAAGAAAAGGAGAAATGCTGCGGCAGGCAGGGGTTAGTGGGGTGGGGCACACTCCAGACACACCCATCAGGGCTTTTCTCCATCTGCAGAAAATTCGCATGGGATGAAACACACCCACGAAACGGGTAATTGCAAAAAATGCGGGCCGAGCTTTGGAGGCGAAAGGATTCCTCGTACGGAGCGAGGCGCGCCCAGAGGCGGCCCCGTGCCACCCGGTCCTGCCCTCCCGCCGCCGCCCCGCGGGGACCGGGCGCGCTGGGCCAGCAGGAGGCGGGCGAGGAGCCCCGGGCGCCGGGCCCGCGAGGTCCCCGGCCGTCCGCCAGCCACGGAAGGCGGCCGTGCAGGGCTGTGGCCCCGCTGCGTCCCCAGCCAGGGAAGAGCTTGGCTCAGGGCCAGCGCCCCGCCTCCCTTGCTACCCCCATTCCGCACTCCTGCGCCCTTTTTCTGAACCTGGAGAGGCAGGGCAGCCTCTTGGCTTCCTTCCAGCGGGATGTGACCCCTCCCGCCCCCCGACTCTAAGCCGAGAACCCAGGGCTTTGGAACGAACATTTTCCCCTACAAAGTCCAGAGAAGCAGCTTCTATTATAAAGTCACCCCCGGGCCTCGGGACCAGGGCTTCCAGGGCAGCGTCCACGCAAGCTGGTCTACTAAGGGTCCTCTCTCCTAGGACCCTCTGCTATGCCCTTGAACAGGAAAAACCCCCTGAATGAAGGAACCGTTTTGGGTTTGGAAACTTCACTCCCTATTGCAAACAGCTTTGTCTCTGTCCGATCATGGTGTGTGTGTAAGAGGTAGGTAGAGACAGGTAGGCCGTTAGATAGATGTGTAGGCAGAAGATAAAAACACTTGACAGGCTGCTGATAATTCTGAAGGCACGTCCCAGGGATGGTCTGGGTATCCGTTATATGGGAGGATTTCTTGCTCACAAGGATGTGGTAGAGGCAGTTTTTGGTCTTATATTTCAGTCAATATTAATAAGAGAACAACAAAGAGAACTAATAAATCGGATCAGACAGAGGGGATATAAAGGGGATATTTCTAAAGCATTGTGGTTCCTTATAATGTTAGTCAAACTGGATCCATTCTTAATCTTAACTGACCGTTGACACATCCCACTGTGTTCTTATTTTCTAATCTGTTCTATCTTGTTCCTGTAATTGTTGGATGTAAAATAAAGATCAGACTATTGATTGTATTTTTTTCCAACCAAAATGTGGCATACGTCTGCTATATGTAAAAGTGCTAGATGCATGGAGAGTCACGGAAGGGAAAAAAAGAAGGAAAGAGAGAAACAAGTTAATAAAACAGAATAATGATGAGGCCTAGGGGTCTTCTAACCTAAAAATTCTGGGGATAAAGAGGCCCTAACTAGTCGAGAATTCCTCTGCATGGAGGAAGCATCCACATAGAGGAATGGCAGGCTGGCCATTACTTCTCCCTTGGAACATTTACTATGTTTGGTCAAATTTTAATGGCTATATTAGGATTTGGGGGAAAGTAAGGTACTTTTAATCTCAAACCACCAATAAACCCTGAAGTATTTGCAAGTTTAGTCATAGAACAGACAACTTTTGCATAATTGGACTTAGCTGAGTAGTTCCTGCAGAGGCAAGGAGACCCAAGTGGCAGAGTCTAGCATTTCTGAAATAACTAGTGTGTGTGCGTGTAGGTTAAGGTGTCAGGTTAAGACTTGGCCCCCTAGGTGTGATTGAGCCAGGGCAGGAAAGGACTCTGTTGAATGATCTGGGGACAGAGCTGGCCAAGATCATGGTCCTTCTGTGGTCAGCACTACCAAGCCCAAACCCCCACCCAGCCCATCTACCCCTCTGAGCCCTCCCACACACTCTGGGTGAGGCATAGCTTGGCAAGCTCCTACAGTGTGGCTTCTTGGTCCCTCCCTCAGAACCAACCAAGAGGGCCAGCTTTAAGGCTTCTAAAGCTGCCAGCCTCTTAAGGGAGTATTCCTACATAGGAATATACTTTGGGAAGCTGATAAGTCCCCTCTAAATATTTGGGAGGCAGCCTTTGAATTAAATGGTTTGCCTGCTGATGTCAATTATTATAGTACTATTTGTAAAAAGCTAAGACTCAAGGGGCCTATGTGAAAGGAGACAGATCAGATCAAACAATCATTTATCTTGATGTCAGAGTAATTCAGAGGAACTCTTAATTATTTACCTCCAAGAAATCTGTGAGGCCAATGCCATCCTACTTGTTCCTGGGGCTCAGCTGGAGTCTATGGGAGCCCAGGTTGGAGAATGAACTCTGGTTAGGAAACCCTGGGATGGAGGAAAGGGGGCACTGGTTCAGGATTTGAGTGTGCTTGGGGGTTCTAGAAGGAATTGAGGTCACCTGGAAGATACAAAGTTGCTCTAAAAATGATTTAGGATGGCTTTTCTATGGATTTTCTACTCCCATGGGGATCAGAAGCCATCTCCCGGTGACTGTCTATCTGACGGTGTGACAGTGCTCAGTTCCCCAATTTTCCCATGATACCAAGAAACCTATTTTGTCTGCAATCCATCATTGCTCACAGTAAGTCTCCACTCCCCACACTCACAGATACACACACACACATACACAAACACACTGTACTTTCAGTTTGAGCCAGTGATATTTCAGACCCTGAATGCTCTGAAAAAAGAGAGACACGTCTCACCAAACCAAGGAAGTGAGCTCCCAGACCGTGACTTTGAAAATGTTCTGCTTGACAATTCAGTCCCTTAGATCACTGGGTTTCTCTTCCCCTATGCCTCAGTTACAACGTATGAACGAGGGTCCTTTTGAATTCCCATGAGGGAAAACTATTTGAATGTGCTTGCAGGACTTATGGGTTTAATTTGGCTCTTAAAAATTTCTCTAATATGGTGGCTGTTAGGTCTTCTACTTAGAACTTGCTGGAAAAATATTTCATGTGTTTGTCTCATGAATGTGTATTTTTTGTTTGGATCTATGTAATTTTAATCCGTTTCAGTCTCACACAGTTTTTTAAAAATTAGTTTGAAGAGTAAAAGATATATATGTGGTAAACATTGCTCACTCTCGTGCTGTGCTCTCTGTGCTATAACAGGAAATGCATTTCTGACACTTTTAAAATGAGCAATCACACGTATAATCAACTTGGTTAAAACTTCCTTCCTGGTAACTGCAACACTTCCTCTGCATCTGGATATGAAGGGAGACCCAGAAAAGCGGAAGAATTTAGAGGCACACTGGGTAGGTCTGAATTTGTTTTGTTTTCAAAAATTAAACAAATGATCCTTCAGCATCATCGCCTCCGCTGCTTTATCAGGTATTACTTCCTTCTATTTTCTGCCCTTTGCTGGGTCTGACTCCGAATAGTGACACTTCCTTCTCAGCTAGAATATTTTTATCTGGAACGGTTGTCGGGTCTTGAGATGACACCACTACTGAATGTCTGTTTCCTTGTCTAGTCCAGCCTGTATGGGTGGATATCCACGAGGTTCCGGCAGTAGTTTTGCAGGTGTATCGGTCCTTTTTTGTTTTTGTTTGGGAGGAAGAGGGAGGGCACAGGAGCCTGTGCCGGCCAGGCTCCGTGTTCTTACAAGTGCTTGCTTAGCGACTACTGACTACTGCACGTAACAGTGTTTCTAACGTCTTCTCGTAAAAGGAGAAAGCTTCGTAGCTCAACCATGAAGGACAGCAGTGAGTATTCAGCCAGCCTGTGTTCTTCTGCATCTTGTGTCTTGTAAGATTGTCTAGTTTCACTGAGGCAGAAGTTATTGCTATGTATTTGTATGTTGCCTAAATTTGGACCTATTTTATTTCAAGTTAGTGTCAATATTAACATATCTTATGGTTCTCTTCTTTGTTAGTTATTCTATAATGTAGCACAAGACCAAATAGTGACTGTTTTAAGCTGCAAAAGACATTTCTTTGGGGCAGTTGGTTTCATGTATTTACTAAGTATACCTTCATAATACCTTAAGAGAGGGAATATTGACTTTAAAAATAAGTTTAAGCCAAGATTTGAACAGAAGTTTGGATCTAATGAAACTTGTCGTTCTTATCTTTTAATCAAACTCTCCTTTTTGGAATATATCAAATGCTCCACTATTTCTTAAGGAAATAACTAGTTATGAGTCTCACTAACATTAGTCATTGAAGAGAGTAAATGATATTTTCTGAAACATTAATTTTTGTTTCAATATTGATTCTTATTTAGAATATATCTTACAATGTAGTGATACTAAATATTAATATCAAAATACCTTATTCACATTTAAATTTTAATATTTTTAGCATTTCAATCATTATTTGAAGAACTTCTTACTGCAGTATGTCACATTTATACTTAAATATTTTGTGCAGGGTAGGTACTTAGTAAATATTTGAGCAAAGAGTGGATACGTTTGATGTGAATAAATTTGTGAATTCTCATTATGGAGATGCCAATATTAGAGCGAAAAAGAAATTAAATAATCGATTGAGATCCAAACAGCAGGTCACTGGAGTCCAGAAATCCTTCTTTCCATCCTGTGGCTTCTCCACTATCTAATGCAGAGGCAGGTGAAATGAACTGGTACAAAGTCAAAATTACCTGAGTGTTCATATTAGGAGAGTACAGCTTTGGGTGACTCCCCCAGGATACTGCCCTAATATAGCAATGACAGCCAGAATGTTCACACATTTCATGATTCAAAATGTTAAATATCTGCAAATGTTATTGATTGCAGCTTCACCAATTCTCATATGTGAGTTTTATCGATGAAGTGACTACCTTTCCTAACTAGAGAGAAAAAAATGAAAAAAAAAACAAGAAAGCCAGGAAGTTGACTAGGGAGTAGATACCTGATCCAGCGAGTTTGAAAATGGAGAATGTGAGGTGAGGTTGGGTAAGGTGTCTGGGTCCCAAAGAGAAGTGTGAGACTGAACAAAGGGGAAATAAGTCGAAGGCCTGTTTTCAACGTGGGGTGTTTCAGCATCTCAACATTGCACCTTGTAAAGTAAGACTTGATCCTTCAACTGGATTGTTTTACTCATATATGCGTTTCACTATGCTTAAGAACAATAATTACCACTTTGAGCCATTATAGTATGTCAGACACTGTGCTAGATGAATGCTTTACATCTTTTTTAAAATTAAATTTCCAAACAAAATGTAAGTAGAGAGATTAATGAACCCCCATATACCCATCGCCCATACTGAACAAGTATATTACCTCATTTAATTCTCACCTCCACCCTCTGAGGTATTACTAACCCCATTTGACAGTTGGGTACCAGGCTCAGAAATTAAGCAGCTCAAGTCACCCAGATACTAAGTGGCGGAGCCAGGATTCAGGGGCCCCGACTCCAAAGCCCCTGTATCCTCCTGCGCACATTCTTCTACACCGTCTCCTTCTACAACTCACTGAAAAATGTAGACGGAAAATGCCTTCCCTGTGACAAAGCCCTCTGTTTCTCCGCTCCCAGGTCGTGTAGGGCATGGAGCTGGAAAACTATGAACAGCCGGTGGTTCTGAGGGAGGTCAACCGCCGCCGGCGCCGGAGGATGAAGCCGCGCAGCTCTGCGGCCAGCCTGTCCTCCATGGAGCTCATCCCCATCGAGTTCGTGCTGCCCACCAGCCAGCGCAACAGCAAGACCCCCGAAACGGCGCTGCTGCACGTGGCTGGCCACGGCAACGTGGAGCAGATGAAGGCCCAGGTGTGGCTGCGCGCGCTGGAGACGAGCGTGGCGGCGGACTTCTACCACCGGCTCGGCCCGGACCACTTCCTCCTGCTCTACCAGAAGAAGGGGCAGTGGTACGAGATCTACGACAAGTACCAGGTGGTGCAGACGCTGGACTGCCTGCGCTACTGGAAGATGGTGCACAGGAGCCCGGGCCAGATCCACGTGGTGCAGCGGTGCGCGCCCTCGGAGGAGACGCTGGCCTTCCAGCACCAGCTCACCGCCCTGATTGGCTACGATGTCACCGATGTCAGCAACGTGCACGACGACGAGCTCGAGTTTACGCGCCGCCGCCTGGTCACCCCGCGCATGGCCGAGGTGGCCGGCCGTGACCCCAAGCTCTACGCCATGCATCCCTGGGTGACGTCCAAGCCCCTCCCGGAGTACCTGTTGAAGAAGATTACCAACAACTGCATCTTCATTATCATTCATCGCAGCACCACCAGCCAGACCATCAAGGTCTCAGCTGATGACACCCCAGGCACCATCCTCCAGAGCTTCTTCACCAAGATGGCCAAGAAGAAGTCGCTGATGGATATCCCGGAAAGCCAAAATGAACAGGACTTTGTGCTGCGTGTCTGTGGCCGGGATGAGTACCTGGTGGGTGAAACGCCCGTCAAAAACTTCCAGTGGGTGAGGCATTGCCTCAAGAATGGGGAGGAGATTCACCTGGTGCTTGACACGCCTCCCGACCCAGCCCTGGACCAGGTGAGGAAAGAAGAGTGGCCGCTGGTGGATGACTGCACGGGAGTCACCGGCTACCATGAGCAGCTAACCATCCACGGGAAGGACCATGAGAGTGTGTTCACTGTCTCCCTGTGGGACTGTGACCGGAAGTTCAGGGTCAAAATCAGAGGCATCGATATCCCTGTCCTGCCCCGGAACGCTGACCTGACGGTTTTTGTGGAAGCAAATATCCAGCATGGGCAGCAAGTCCTTTGCCAGAGGAGAACCAGCCCCAAACCCTTCACAGAGGAGGTGCTCTGGAATGTGTGGCTTGAGTTCAGTATCAAAATCAAAGACTTACCCAAAGGGGCTCTACTGAACCTCCAGATCTACTGTGGCAAAGCTCCCGCGCTGTCTGGCAAGGCCTCTGCAGAGACTTCCAGTTCTGAGTCCAAAGGCAAAGTTCAGCTTCTCTATTATGTGAACCTGCTGTTGATAGACCACCGGTTCCTCCTGCGCCATGGGGAATACGTGCTCCACATGTGGCAGATATCCGGGAAGGGAGAAGATCAAGGGAGCTTCAGTGCTGACAAACTCACATCTGCAACCAACCCAGACAAGGAGAACTCAATGTCCATCTCCATTCTGCTGGACAATTACTGTCACCCAATAGCATTGCCTAAGCATCAGCCCACCCCTGACCCCGAAGGGGACCGGGTTCGAGCCGAAATGCCCAACCAGCTTCGGAAGCAACTGGAGGCGATCATAGCCACTGATCCACTTAACCCTCTCACAGCAGAAGACAAAGAATTGCTGTGGCATTTCAGATATGAAAGCCTTAAGCATCCAAAAGCATATCCTAAGCTTTTTAGCTCAGTGAAATGGGGACAGCAAGAAATTGTGGCCAAAACATATCAGTTGTTAGCCAGAAGGGAGGTATGGGATCAAAGTGCTTTGGATGTTGGGTTAACAATGCAACTCCTGGACTGCAACTTTTCAGATGAAAATGTAAGAGCCATTGCAGTTCAGAAACTGGAGAGCTTGGAGGATGATGATGTTCTGCATTACCTGCTACAGCTGGTTCAGGTAGGGGATGCTGTGTTATCAACAGAGCGCTCTTCTCAAGAAATTTATTTGCATGTGCACAGGCATCCCATTCAGTTGTGATCAAATGCCCATTGTCCAGAGCATCATGATCAGTCATAGTAGATCTGATGAAGCCACCTTAAAAAGTAGTCAGCTGTTCCATTTACCTTTTTATTGTCTTTGAGGGTTTGCCGACAAGCATTTTGAAGACATTGATATTTCCACTTAGGAGAACCAGCCCTGTGGGGAATACTTTGTTCTCGTTTACTATATTGATGATAGATTCGACTTATTGAATGCTCCCTTGTGCCAAGGGTCCAAGTGATTTGCATGCTCTTCTTGTATTATCACATTTAACTCTCCCAACAACTATGATGGAGCTCAAATTAATATTTACATTTTATATATAAGGAAACAGGCGCAGAGAGGCTAAATAATGTGCCCAAGATCACATACTTTGAAAGACCGGAATTCACACCCAGGAGGTCTAACTCCTGGGTCTAACAAGCCATGTTGTTTTCACTGACTCCCAATATCCTGCATCAATCCTGTGTCAGGACAATGTGTCTTAGCAAGAAAAGGTCATACTCTCTGATTGTGTCTATCACAATTCATAGAATAATATTTCATATTTGGATGGGACCTTGAAAGGCCCTCTCTTTAGACAGGTCCAGTACTGTGCTTCCACTCCTGTTCTCATACCTTCCCTTGGGCCCCAGAGAAGCTAAATCATTTGCCTAAGGGTTTCATAGGAAGTTAAAGAAAGGAGGAACACTTGTATCCACTATAGCCGTTCTCAAATTATATTGTGCTGCTTGACAAGGAAGAGGAAGTCAAAGAATTGGAATAGAAATGCTATTTTAGAGTGCAGACGTGTTCATTCATTAATTCAACATGTGCTGAGTGCTTCCCCTGTTTTGGAAGCTGGATATAGAGCAGCGATCAAAACAGAGCCCCTCTCTGCCCTCGTGCAGCTTGTGGTGTGTGGAGAAGACTGACATTAAACGAGTACATACACAAGCAGATATTTAAAACGAATGGGACAGATGCTTTGGTGAAAAACCGCAGAGTATTATGAGAAAATAGTCAGGGGTCCTAGGGACACTTAATTTAGACCGAGGAAGCCAGAGACAGTTCTGAATAGGTGATGTTTGACCTGAGATCGTAAAGATTAGCCAGGCTAAGTGTTAGACACTGAACTCTCTAATCATTGTCTAAATTTACAGGAAGTCCTTGGAGTTTTCTGACGAGCATTTTGAATACTCCCAACTTTAACTCTAAATCTTCACCTTCCCATTAGGCAGATATGTGAAACATTACATTTGGCCTTTGCCTTCATCTATCAAATATATCGAATATTTTTCTCTGCCCACAAGTTCAGATACTGGCATAACACTAATGAAAATGTTAGAATAATCAAAGTATGTTCAGTTTTCTAGCTTTCCATAACAAGAAGAACATAAAACCAATATGCATGAGATCTGCTCCAAGTCCCAAGGCTACCATGAATTATGTTACATTGTTATTTTCACCAGTAAACTTTGCAGAATTGGAAAATGAATAGTGTTCTTGGAAATGTTTAAATGAAAGAGGTCAATAAGTAATATTAACATTGAATTTGTGGTCATAAATTTGAAGAAGAGTAGTCATTTGTAAAACTATTTGAGACATTTTCAGATATGGCCAAATGACTCATCCTGATTAAAATGGTCTCCTAGTTGAGATCTGCATTGTCTTTACAGAAGTGAAACACAAAGAGGGTCAAAAAGATTCACGTTTGGGTTAGAAACTCAAAACATTTCTGAAGTGAGTACTGGTGGCGAAATAACCACATTCTCAGAATTAAGATCTCAGCTGCAGCTACAATGGCACCTATTTGACCACACCCATGGAAAGTATGGGGATAATCGAAATGTTATCAAGTCAGGATGGATCATTTCCAAATTGGAAAACCCGAGTAACAATTGGAAATCATACCCAAAAGCCCCCAGGCCCTAAAACATAAAGTGGAATGGGAGTTTCTCATGTTCCTTGGGGAAAAGGATAGACCATGTCTATCTATAAAGGAAATAACTCTGAGCTACTTAATTTTAGGCTGCTCTTTATGCTTATACATGACATCTACCCTATAACTTTATATATGCATCTATAATAATCAAACAATATTTATTAGTCTTGCTGCTTTTAAAATTATGAACTATTGCAGACTTACAGGAAAGTACAGAAGATGATATAACAGATCTCCATGCACCCACCAGGATTTAATTATTTTTTACATTTTATTGGTTCTTTTTCTTCAGAGTTGTCACCTAAGTCAATATGTCTATATTAGCCAAGTGATATGAAAACTGCTAAACACTACTAAAGCTGAAGAAGCAGATAAACTAAGAGATTTTCAGACACAAAGCTCTGTATACCCCACAGCATGGCAGGGAGCAGCCATGGCTCTGTGTGGATTGATCCAGGCTTGCTGTTTCCTTGCAGTAAGAACCTGTGGGGCAGCTCCGTGACTTGCCAGTAAGATGCCAAACGCACACCTTGAGCAGAAGACAAGCTATAGGATTTTAGGATCTTCATATCTAACGAATATTTTTCTCCTTACATGTACTAAATCTCCGTGTTTATTTTCTTTCCAACAACCTCTCTTACCTTCCACTTTTATACATTTTTTATAGCCATCTCCATCTTTCCCTTCTATCCTTCCAATAAATCAAGTAAGCCCTTCATGGGAGCAAACGCCTCGCCTCTGCACCTGTGAAGTTGTCAAAAGCACATGACTGGGAGCTGAGAGTTCTGGCCTCTAATCCCTGTCCTTAAGCAAGTGGTTCACTCTGGCCCGAAGTATCCTCGAAAAAAGGATTGAACTTAAGTGACTGGTAGGATTCTCATCACCCAGCTGTAAAAACCCCCTAAAGCATAGCACCCGTTTTTATCCAGAATGCAGTCCTACAAATGCCAATGTGTTCTTCCTTTAGGCTGTGAAGTTTGAACCATACCATGACAGTGCCCTTGTCAGATTTCTGCTGAAGCGTGGTTTACGAGTAAGTACTTCCATTTTGATAATAGCGTGACATTTCAAAAGTCATCTAGAATTGGGTAATGGATCCAGAGCATTAGTCATAATAATTGCAACCTTCTTGTTCCCACCCTCAGAACAAAAGAATTGGTCACTTCTTGTTTTGGTTCTTGAGAAGTGAGATAGCCCAGTCCAGGCACTATCAGCAGAGGTTCGCTGTGATCCTGGAAGCCTACCTGAGGGGCTGTGGCATGGCCATGCTGCACGACTTTGCCCAACAAGTCCGAGTAATTGAGATGTTACAAAAGGTCACCATTGACATTAAATCGCTCTCAGCTGAAAAGTATGACGTCAGTTCCCAAGGTACAGTGCTGCGTTTCCAGGTTCTCTTTCCAAATGCCTGCATCTCCAAATGCCATCGTCCTTGTGATTCTTCTTCCTTCTGGAAGGCCGGTTGTACCTTCCTAAAGGCAGCCAAGAACAAATTTTTTAATCTTCTGTCTCCATGGAATAAGCAAATTTAAAGTTCTCCCTTTACAACTTAATATTTTTTTAAAAAACTATATATATATTCTAATGATGAATCTATGATACTAGATATTAAACTTTTTGAAAAATTAAAAAGTATTATGCAGATGTAAGATGTATTTTTAGAACAATTGTGCACACACACAAAAAGATGTTATTTCCAAATATTTACGTTTTTCTTCCCGTCTTTCAATATATGCATATAATTTTCAAATTTTCAGTCTTTTAAAGTGAAATTATTGAGAAGCTATTTTAAGCTTTGTGTATATATATATCTTCATATATAGATATATATACTCTATGTATAAATATATACATATATATCAGAATACTTTATGTTAAAATACGTATCATCTCCTCTCTGAAGTCATTTCCGATGCATACAGTCTTCTTATCCCTAAGAAATCCTGTCCCTGTCCTAGGAAAATTAATCATTCTTTCTCTGTATTCCCATAGGTTTGCGTTGACACTGCATTAAATTATACTCATTAACACATCTTTCTGGTCTGGTAAACTACATGAGCCTTGAATACCTTTCATGTTTGTATACCTAGACCTAGCACTATGGCTCATAATGGACTCTCACTAACATACTCAGCCAATATTTTCAACTTCTGAATATTTTGAATTTCCACTTTTTCCCTTTGATTCTTTTCCAATGCACCAATTATGCTCTTTCCTAAAAAGAATAATGGTAATAATAATCTTACTTTTATTTTTATTGTAAGAAAGGGAAACATTTGTACTGGCCTCCTGTCTATCTGTTATCCAGGGAGTAATTTTTTGTATTTTGCCTTTAGAATTTTGAGGCTGTGACAGTGTGTCCACACAACTTAACTTCCTCTTTTGAAAAGAATTTACAGAACCCTAACCGAATTCCATTTAATATGGTCTTCAAATGTCTGTTCCCCAAGTCAGATGGCAGTTTAAAGTTTCACATGCTGGAAAGAAAACTAGAGTACCAATTCCTTATCATTATCCTTAAAACATCCTCCTCTACCTGATTGTCTTGGTATCCCACATATATTCACATATTTCTGTCCCCTGTTGTGGTATGTGGACATGGTTATATTGCTCACAGTAAGCCTGACTTATCTTGCCACCTCGAATGGTTAGTTCCTCAAACACAGAAACCTTTTCTCCTCCACACCAGACCAAATGTATAGAACATTGTGAATAGACAACTGCCTCAGGAAATATTCTAGATAATATTGATAATTTCTTGAACTCACATAACTCTTGTGTGCTTTTGACAATTACAGTTATTTCACAACTTAAGCAAAAGCTTGAAAACCTACAGAATTTGAATCTCCCCAAAAGCTTTAGAGTTCCATATGACCCTGGGCTGAAGGCAGGAGCACTGGTGGTAAGTATCACCCTGATGTCTGCACGTGGTGTCTGTGTCTTGAAAATGTCCCTGCATGCTTTACAGGGCCTAGTAGATAAAAGCTAATGTTTGTGTAGAGACAGGGAAGCTGGAAAGTCCCTGGTCAGCCTCTATCGAGCCCTTCTCTCACCTCATACTAAAAACCTCCACACCGAGCAATCTCCCATCCATTTTATTTTAAATCAGCTTTCTTGAGGAATCATTTACATACAATAAAATTTGTCCATTTTAAGCGTACAGTTCAATGAGTTTTGACCAATGTCTATAACCCTATAACCACCACCACAATCAAGATATAGAACATTTCCAGAGAAATGTTATGGAAAGAGCTCTTTCATATCCCTCTGTAGTTAGTCCTTTCCTCCTTCTATCTCCCATCCCAGACTACAGATCTGCTTTCTATCATGTAATTTTGCCTTTTCTATAATTTCATAAAGTGGAATCATACAGTATATAGTTGTTGTATCTGGATTCTTTTACTTAGCATAATGCTTTTAAGATTCATCCATGTTGCTGTGTGTATCAGTAGGCTGTTCCTTTTTATGACTGAGTAGTATTCTCTTGTATGGATACACCACAATTTGTTTTCCATTCACCTTTTGAGTAAATATTTAACAGTGAACTAGTTGGGTCAGATAGTGTGTGTCTAATTTTGTAAGATACTGCCAAACTGTTTTTCCAAATTGACCGTACCATTTTCTATTCCCACCAGCAATGTACGCGAGTTCCAATTGTTCCACATCTTAACCTTAACACTTGTTATCATCAGTCTTTTTAATTGTAGCCATTCAAATGAATGTGAAGTGGTATCTCACTGTTGTTTTTATTTGCATTTCCCTAATTATGTTGAGCGTCTTTTCAAGTGCTTATTTTCCATCTTCTTTTTGAGAAGTTTCTATTCACGTCTTCTGTTCATTTTTAATGTGGGTTGCCTTCTTATTTTTATTTATGAGTTATTTATATATTCTGGCTAGAAATTCTTTATTGGGTATACATTTTATAAATATTTTCTCCCAGTCTATGGCTTGCCTTTTCATTTTCTTATTAGTGTATTTCAAAGAGCAGAAGGTTTTAATTTTAAGTCCAATTTATCACCTTTTCTTTTATGATTCCTGCATTTTGTGACTTAAGAAATATTTGCTTAATCCAGTGATTCTTAACCAGGGGTGAACCCCACCCTCTCTACCAAGGGACATTTGGTAATGTCTGGAGACATTTTTGATTGTTACAGCTGGGAGAATGTTACCAGAATCTAGTGGGTAGAGGCCGGGAATGCTGCTAAATATCCTACAATGCACAGGATCACCCCCCCCAAAAGAAAAAATTATCCAGCCAGAAATGTCAATAGTGCCAAAGTTGGGAAATACTGCCTAATTCAATGTGACAAATACTTTTTATAGAAGTTTTACAGTTTTAACTCTTACACTTTAAGTCTTTTTTCCATTCTGAGTTAATATTTGTGTATGGTGTGAGGTAAAGATCAGGTTTCATTTTTTTATCTCAATATCCAACTTTTCCAGCAGCATTTGTTGAAAAGATTGTCCTTTTCTTGTTGAAATGCCTTGGTACTTTTGTCAAATATGAACTGACCATATATATGTGGGTCTATATCTAGATTCTCTATTCCATGCCATTGATCTAAGTATCTATCCTTACATCAATACCACACTCCCTTGATTTCATTCAAATAATAGACCACTTCATATGTGGGTCAGAATCTTCCAACAGTATACTTCCATTAACCTCCTCTCATCTTTTATACTATTTTTGTCATGCCTTTAACTTCTACATATGTTATAAACCTAATACATTGTTACTATTTTTGCTTGAAACAGTTAAAAATAGATTTAACAGATTTAATAGATTAAACTTTTTTTTTATATTTACCCACACATTTACCATTTTTGGTACTCTTCATTGCTTTCCATAGGTCATATTTCCATACGGCATCATTTTCCTTCAGCCTTTAATATTTTTTATAGTGCAAGTCTTCTGGCAAGAAATTCTTTCAGCTTTGGTGTGTCTGAAAAAGTCTTTATTCCACCTTCATTTTTGAAAAATATTTCCCCTGGGTAGAAGGGAAAGTTCATCTCTTCATGTTTAATTTTATATACAATTATCCATAAACTGGCCCTATAGCAAAAGCACACACTATCCACTGTCCTTATCCAGTTAGAGATTTGTAGGAATAATGATATATTAATACGGCTTCAAATTGTGTTTGCTTTTTTTAAAGCCACATCACATTTTTGATCCATGGTGAATTTGCTTTTGGCTAAAACTCCTGGGCCGGCTCCGTGGCTTGGCGGTTAAGTGCGCGCGCTCTGGTGCTGGCGGCCCGGGTTCGGATCCCGGGCGCGCCCCGAGGCACCACTTCTCCGTCCAACGCGAGGCCGAGTCCCACGTACAGCAACTAGAAGGATGTGAACCTATGACATACAACTGTCTACTGGGGCTTTGGGGGGAAAAAAATGAATAAATAAAATCTTTAAAAAAAATAAAAAAAAAATAAAACTCCTAAGATATTTTATTTTGAAGTGAGTGGCTGCTAAGCCACATTTCCCCCACCTTGAATTTATTTAGATGTATGGGAGTTTTTTTGGAGAAGGGTGGCATTGTACCTGAATGCTAGATTTCCATTTATTGCTGTTAAATTTCATCTTGTTAGATTTGGCCTTTTGCATCTGATTCTGCAATAATAGTTTTTATTATTATCTGTGGTAGCAGTAGAACTGTTTTTTTCAAATTAAATCTTAGAGGGAGGCCAAATATATAAACAAATAACAGCAAAGTTGCTCTGTAGTAAAGGGGACATGGGAGTACCAGAGTCCTATGGGAGTGGGGCATGCAGAGGATGGGATCTGCCATGCCTCTTAGGCACCTTCACAGACTCTTAGAGCTCCCTGGAACACACTTTGAGAACCACTGGTTTAAGTGTTGTAAATTAATCTCTTTAGTATTTTTAGATTTGGTGAGAATACTTTTTGTGTTTTTTACCCAAACCATTGGAAATCATTTTCCAACTAGGACTTTGTCCTGGTTGTTTATGGTGATGCTTTGCAAGAGGATGTGTGTCTCCACAACGTGTATTCATTTGTGTGTAGGAAACATGTGACTGTTTCCTTACAGATTGAAAAATGTAAAGTGATGGCCTCCAAGAAAAAGCCCCTGTGGCTTGAGTTTAAATGTGCCGACCCTACAGCTCTATCAAATGAAACAATTGGAATTATCTTTAAACATGGTGATGATCTGCGCCAAGACATGCTTATTTTACAGGTATGCTACTATTAAGGAATTTTTTTTTCAATTATCTGAAAAAAACAATTCTGTATTAGATCTAAAAAATGCCTTCTACTGACTCTATTCCCATTCTCCGTTTTGTATGATGAACAGTGATCAAAGATTACATAATAGAGAGTTTTCACTGGGGGAATGTGGCTGTGGAGTATTAGATGTGTGATCTAGTGACCATCACGGTTCTGTCCATTCCCCAGAAGATGCATATCCAACATTCCCAAATAGCCAGACATACTTCAAGCCTCACCTAACCTCCTTTTTATACACCCCATTCCTAGTATGGTAACATAGAATAGAGACATATTTACCCCCTAGCGTCCACTTTATTCATATTCACAGACATAGTTACATACCCACAGGTGCTCTCCTTAGACACATCACCTTTGATACACATCCACATACACAAACTCAAGTGAATGATTTGATAGGAAGGAGAGAAAAGATGCACAGGTAGGCGATTAGAGAAATCATGCAGTTAAATAACAACAGTGAATAGATTATTAGAGCAGAAGGCAAATGGTGACGGTATCAATGTTAATCATTTTCACATTTCCTAATATTTCCGGATAAACTTTAGCTTTGCAAATCCATAAAGTAATATTCTCCATATTCTAGTTGTTCAACACGGTAGAGGTAACATAATTTCTAATACTTAATGTGATTTATTTAAAATGGGCAAACCACATTGATTTAAATGTAGCCTATTTAAAAACTGGTCATGTTTTCAATTCTCTCTCGGTTTCTGTTTTTACTTATTTCTAACATGGAAACAATAATACCCTTCGCTCTCTTTTCAAGAATGGCATGTGTACTGTCCTGGACGGACTTTAAAAAAAGAAAGAAGAAGACATCCTTCCAATCTTTTGAAAGTTTATTAAATTTCCAATAAATCTGTAGAATCTTTTGAATTATTCAAAGAAGGGCACTTCAAAAACACAACACATCATGGTTCTTCCTCTCATTTTAAGGGACAGTTGGCGCTTGCCCGTTATGTACTTTGTTTTGTTGTTCAGGCACTTTGCATAGCAGGTCAGGGCAAGTTTTTAAGCTCTCTAAGCCTTAGTCTCTTCACCTGCTGAATGGGAATAATACTCCTATCCACACTATAGGGGGAATGCAAAGGATCAACATAAAAGAGCACCCAGTAAGTGTGAACTATCATTGTCATCATTGTTATTGTTGCCTTGGTTGTAGCCCAAGAGTGCCTTATGGATAAAAATTTATAAGGATCTTAGAATGGAACTTTTTTTTATTGTGGTAAAATATACATAACCAGAGTGGAATATTTGAATAGATGAGTCATGGCTAAAACCTACCCCAGAATAAATCCATTTATCCTCCTCCCCAACATACATCTCAGGGACCAAAATTAACAGGCTCCCAAGGAAGAGAAACTTTAGAGTACCAGGTTGATAAATAAAAGTATAGTTGTTACTTATATATTTTATGTTTACTTGTATATTTTGTTTTACCAGATTAGATTGTTGTTTCTTTTAAGGGAGAAGAAAAATACATATTTATAATGGAAACGTTCTTGTGTTTTGATGCCCAGATTCTACGAATCATGGAGTCTATTTGGGAGACTGAATCCTTGGATCTGTGCCTCCTGCCATATGGTTGCATTTCAACTGGTGACAAAATAGGTATATGGTTACCTCAGGAGATGAATATACCACTCAGCTAGTTTTAAAGGATCCTAATTCCTTCAGTGTAGGCATTTAATAACTCAAGTTACAATCATAATCCATATAACAAGGAAGAAAATGTTCCAAGGCTGGTGAATGTGACTCTCCATTTAATACGGATATGTAGAGAATCTATGAATGCATGATTCAAATCCTTGTGACTATACATGGAAATGATTTTAGTAAGAACTTGTTCTCTCCTCTTGACTTCTCCACCTCTAGACTTTAACTCGTTTCATTGCACATTAAACTTCTCTCTCATAAATAACATTTAAAAATAGACAGAAAGATCTGTCACTGATTTTAATATCCTAGAATTATCAAAGCTATTACATACTCTACTCTTAGGTGCTTTTACAGACATTTCACATTTTAATTTCAATCAAACATTTTTATTCAAGTTTCCGATTTGAGAACTGTACAAAACCATTTATATTTGACCCTGTAATTTAAAAAAGGAAAAAGCACAGGTTGCCGAGTGAGGAAGGATGTACTCAGCACAGAAATGCTTTTACTTAGTACCTTTCAAAACCCACCCTTTCCTCTTCATCCAGGGATATTGAAAGGATGTCCCCCACAACTTCCATATCCTCCTCCTTTTCTTTCTCTTCCTCCTAAGAAAACCAATAGCATGAACCCAGAAAATAGCCCTCTGGTTGAAAAAGCCCTCTGCCCTCCACTCAACAAAGACATAGCCACTCCTCCCCTGGGCCAGGCACGAGGCCCCACTGTACATCAAACTCTGTGCATCCTTCTGTAGGAATGATCGAGATCGTGAAAGATGCCACAACAATTGCCAAAATTCAGCAAAGCACAGTGGGCAACACAGGAGCATTTAAAGACGAAGTCCTGAATCACTGGCTCAAGGAAAAATGCCCTCTTGAAGAAAAGGTGAGCTCCTGCTTTCCCCTACTCTGAAGACTCCTGACAAGTTGTCAATTATATAGCAATAGTGGTTTCACCTTTTTAAAGGTTCTACCAATGGCATGAGCCTTCTGACAGGTTGTTGAAGTCCTTCACTTGTCAGGTCGCAGGGGCTTTGAGTGCTTTCCTGTGGCGACACAGCAGATCTGTGTCAAACAGAGGCGCTCAGTCCAGAACTCCATGAGCATTTGCTTCTCCTTTGATTATCAGGCATGCTTTGCATAAAATTTGGTTCTGTGTAATAATTCGTTAGCACTTTTTATGACGATCTATTTTTGTTGTTCAGCAGAAAAATTTACTTACCATGTGTAAATTCTTTCCTACCTGGGAAACACCACATACCCTATAAAGTAATTTATAATTTACCACTGCACTCTAATCTAAATGGTAAATTATGGATGCTGAAAATGTCAGTTCCACTGAGGTACATATGCTGAATCCTTCACAAGCTATGTGGTTGAGCTATTTGGCTGCCGTTTCAAGTTCTGTTGCACAGGATTAGCACTTCTCATTTGCATGATTAGCAGCCTTTTGGGGAGGAAATATAATTAGTAGCATTTATTAGTCTGTTATACGTGTGTATTTGTGAACCCATGCATACTGTAAGTGGTGACAAGCAAAACATGTTCGCCAATGAAGGTGAAATTATTATGGGTTCTGTAAAGTCGCTGGCAAGTGATGCATAGAGAGGAAGTGAACTTTTGATTAAATTACTGTTGCCCTTTGACTCTTGTTTCCTCCTCGTGCTATTGTGATTCATTGAATCTTCACCTAAAATATAAGTAGAGCAACGAGAAAGGTGGCACTTAATAGATTTAACATTAATGAAATCAGGCACAACTAACTTGCTCTCTGAAAATGAGTTCCCAAAATAGTGTCTTCTTGGAAGTCGTTTGTAATAAATTCATGCTGCTCTTTATAGTTAGAACACAACTAATATTCAGATGCATTTTAATTAGTTTCAGGCAGCAGTGGAGAGATTTGTTTATTCCTGTGCTGGCTACTGTGTGGCAACCTTTGTTCTTGGAATAGGCGACAGGCACAATGACAATATTATGATCACAGAGATGGGTGAGTTTATTTATTGTAGAGTAATTTTTTTGGATTGTGGTAAAATATACATAACATAAAATTTATCATTTTAACCAGTTTTAAGTGTATAGATTAGTGGCATTAAGTATATTCACGTTGTTGTGCAACCATCACCACCATCCACCTCCACAACTTTTTTGTCTTCCCCAACTGAGACCCTGTGCCCATTGAACACTAACTCCCCCTTGCCCCTGACCCCCAGCACAGAGTAGTTTTTAAGTGGAGTTCAAGGTTGGAGCACATATCTAGAAGTCATTATTGTGTAGGGACACAGATGCTGTTATCACCCTAGAGAGGACCCAGGAGTGAGTAATGGAAGAATATGCAGGAAATGAGACTTAGGAAGGAAAAGTCAGAGAATAGCTAGAAAGCTAGGATAGAATCGTATCCCAGAAGTTAGAGAAGGTGGGAGTGATCAACAGTGTCAGATGTGCAGAGAAGCAACAAAAAGAACTCACAGATCCTTAAATCCAAAATGCTGTGCCTTCCTAATGTACCCCTCCTCACTGGTTCACTGTCCACTCTGACAGTGGTCAGCATTGGCCATCTTGCCATGAAATTTTTCTCTGAGAAATATGGACCAATTTAAGAGTAGAGTCTAAAAAAAGCACCATATTGAGGTAAATTGCTTAGTCTCTGTGAGAATCAAAAGAGATAATGCATTTATGGACCACACATATGAGAAAGGGCTATTTGAATGAGAAGAGATGATAGTAACTATGGTGGTGATGGTGACAGTGGTAGAAATTGACCCAAAGGAGACTCAGAATGGTTTATTTCTATCGTGCTAATCAAAAGTAGAAGGTGAATGCTTCTGCCCCAAGAAAAAGTGAAACATAGTCTGTCCCGAGTTACATAAAGGGCATAAGAGAGTCTTGGGCATAACGATGACATATTAGCCAGAGAGTTTTGATTTTTATTTCTAAGAATAATTCTGAGATGAGAATTTTTTAATGGCATTTGACTGTCATTTAAAGAAGACCGGAAGAATATCAAAAACACGTTTGGTTCAAAGGGTGCTTTGTGGCTACTACAGCACACACCTGCTAAGACAAAAATATCACAAGCTGATAAAACAGTGTAAAAATAGCTCTCTCACCCAAGATAGTTCATTTTCAGGCAACTTAAAAAAATATTTCAAGAAATAAACCAGAGTGTCGTTACAAGCACTTATGCCAGTATAATGATGTCAAACATTTTCTTCTTTTAAGGAAATCTATTTCATATTGACTTTGGGCACATTCTTGGGAATTACAAAAGTTTCCTGGGCATTAATAAAGAGAGAGTGCCATTTGTGCTAACCCCAGACTTCCTGTTTGTGATGGGAACTTCTGGAAAGAAGACAAGCCTACACTTCCAGAAATTTCAGGTAATTGGCCTCCCTCTTCATCGCCTACTGTGAACACCAGCCAGATGGTCCCTGAAGCGCACAGCAGCCCTCACCTGTCGCTCCACTTTGAGGCTCCTCTCACCTCTGCCCACCCCCTTCTGGCACGACCACCCCTACCTCCTCCCCATCTCCTCTATTCCTTCCCCAAGTGCAAATGACGTTTCTAAGTAATCTTCCCACCTAAAACCCAATAGCAAGTAAAAGCATTCCATAATCCGTGGGATGGCAAATACAGAACACGTGGATGACGCTGGTACTGAAGAGAGGGGTTTAAGGAAGAGTGCCTGGCCAGCAGGTGTTAGCCTTTGAATATTTATCTATTCAAGATATCACCTGGGAGATCCAAATTTTACATATATTTTTTAGGACTCTCAAACGATTGTGAGCTTCTCTTGATTTTTGCCACAGGTGTAGCAAAATTATCAAATTACTAACACAGGGAATTCTTGCTGCACCACTGCATGCTTGTCTCATTTTTGTAAAGGATAGTCCCTTCTCTCGTTTGGAATCTTGTCAACTTGACTACGGGTTCTACAAAGAGCTCCGGCTTGTAAGCAGGCTCCGACATGGCCTACCCATCTCCCTGGGAATGTTCACATTCTGCATTCTTTTTCATTCCTTCCTGGTCTACATCCACTTTGACTATCAAATTTCAAATACCCAAGGAGTAAAATTTTCACACTTGCAAATTTAATAACTCTGAGTGAATATAACTCAGAAAAGTTGTAACTACTGTAATTTACTTATTTTATAGCCATATAAACACAAAACTGTGGCAAGAGTGATTCCTTTTCATGTACGTTTGCCCTGGGTTCCCTTTCAATAGCCCCTCCCTTAGTGCCTCTTCAGCATGGTTTGATTTGCACTCAGTATTTCAGGAGCAAGTCTTTTTCCCAAGGCCCCTCTTGAGTCCCATCTTATCCTTGCGAGATGACACGGGCCTTGAAGTTCAGTGGAACAGGAACTAGGATGTATTGTTTTGAAACCTGCCGTTCTTATTTGTTCTCCTGGCTGGTTTTCGATTTGGTGATTACAGGACTTGCCCTCCCACAGGTCCAGCAGTGTAGTCAGAGAAACCGAGATCTCTGTGGCCAGATGGTCTGAGGATTTTTAATGTGTGTTTTTCTGTGTAAACTCAACTGGGTTTCAGACTGTTTCCAGGGATTTGACACATTTCAGTCCTGTTTTTCTTTAAAGTTAAAAATCTCTTGTTTTGACAACTTCCTGCAAGAGAAAAATGGTTCGACAAAAAAAAGAAAGAAAGAAAAAACCTGGAAGAATTTTACCATTTAAAGTGGGGAAAACACTCCATTTTCCTCTCCAGGAGGTGCGCTTCATCTGAGTAGCTTTTTTTTTTTTTTTTAATAATTTTATTTATTTATTTTTTTTCCCCCAAAGCCCCAGTAGATAGTTGTATGTCATAGCTGCATATCCCTCTAGTTGCTGTACGTGGGACGCGGCCTCAGCATGGCCGGAGAAGCAGTGCGTCGGTCTGTGCCCGGGATCCAAACCAGGGCCGCCAGCAGCGGAGCGCACGCACTTAACCACTAAGCCACGGCATCTGAGTAGCTTTGAACAAACATGGCAGCAACAGCCCCGTTTAAAGAGTGAGACAGATGCAGGAACTTGACCTCACTAACAGTCTCTCCTTGTTTCTGTGTATGTTCTCTTTCTTTTTGCCTGTGGTTTTCTCCAAAACGACTACCCAACTGCCCTGTTGCTGACAACATTCCATAGAGCCTATAGTGCCATGTCACCCTTAAAATCCTAGCAGTACTTCCTCTTTAGTCTTCTTTGTTGTCGTTTTAAGTTTCAAAATATTCTTTAATGAAAAGATTTTGGGTATGGGGAGGCCAAGAAGAGGCTGCCTCCCCCTCAAGACAGCTTCCACCCAAAGCAACAAATCTTCACAGAGAGACCTTGCACAGTCTATCCTCTCGGTCTGGGAGCATTTCTCCATCCTTTGTGACCAAAGCTTGTTTCTAAAGCCGTTAAAACCTCTTTCACTAAAGCGACATCTAGGCAGTGTGCACGACTAAAAACACACCTTTGTATACTTTACTGTACTTATATTTATCTATGTTTTGGAGGATTGGCATACTATGTAAGTGCCTGTGAATATATGCACTTTGAGCCTTAAACCCAGACCCAGCAAGGCATTATGGCTGAAAGGATGGGCTCTGGAGCAGACAAACTTGAGCTTGATCTGGCCTTGTTACATAAGCTGTGTATGTGATACAAATTACTTATCCTTGCAGAACCTCTGTTTCCTCATCTGTAAAGTGGAAATACTAAGACCTGCCTCATGTGGCTTTTTTAGGGATTATTTGAATAAAATATGCAGAATGCTTAGCCCAGTGCCTAGACCACAGCAGAAACTCCATGAACAGTAGCCTCCGTTGTTATATACCACAATGGGTCTGCAACCTTTGAAAACTTTTTAGTTGAGAAGCCCCCTTTGAAATGAGATCTCAAGTAGGACTGCAGTATATAAAACATGAAAAAGCAGCATTGTTCTGGTTAAAGAGTAGGTGGGGTCCAAGCTCTCCCCGCTCTGCCTCCCTGCCCACCCCCGGTCTACTCCTCCCCTCCGCGCGTCTCCCACCCTCCTCACTCACCACAGGAAAAAAACTGAACACACATACATATATGTATACAATTATACATATGCAGAATTTCTGAAGTTTCAGGCCTGACAAAGATGAGGAGCAAATTTTTTCGTCATTTGACTCAGTCCTTGTGACAATTTTTTTTACATACTGCTAAGCCTTCCAGAAGATTTTCTGTTTCTTAGTTTCATGTTCCCTTTTTGAGACGAAGTGCTTCAAGCTCAGGGAACACATCTCTAAACTCTCTAAATAGCACCTCAGGATCTTGTATAATAAAGCTGCCATTTTTAGGTAACTGGGAAATGTTGTATATATTTACATTTTGAATTAAAGGGGCCCTCATTTCCAGGGAATTGCTAATTTTGACTAGATAAGGTTAATTAATGCATGCAGCACATTTGAATAACCTGTTAGGAAGGGTGGAGAAAAGTTGACCCGCTTTTTGTTAAAGATGAGGCGAGCCTTCTCCACGAAGACTTAAAAATATACCTACCTAGTGACCAGAGGAAGGAAGTCAGGGGAACTGAAAGCAGAGAGCACTGTTTTATTCCACCTCTCTCTTCTTTCCAAGGTAGCTAGTGTAGCCTAGGACCATATTCAGAAATTATTTCTAGAACGGGGGAGAGTTCAGGAACAAGCTGTAATGAGACAAAAAGATGAAAAACCAAGGCTTACTATTTGGACCCAAGAATATCTGTTGGCCTCTGGAGCAGCATCCTACACACAGGGTACTAAATAGATATATTTCAATGGTGAAGATTTTGATAAATAAATTCTCCTTAGAAAAATCTCTCCCTTACTGAAGAGAAAAAAGAAAACGATGTTTTACCCACTGGAAATTTATTTTAGAACCACTTTGTTTCAAATTTCACTGAACAATTATAGAACATATATTACATACAAATACATTTATATCACTGGCAAATGAAACTTGGCTTCGCATTTATCTTTATATAAGAATGTAGGGTTTTTTTCCCCAATTTTAAAAGTAGTAAATGCTTCTTTAAGAAAACAAAAGCCAGCAAAATATTAAAACCATCAGGAGGATATTAAAAAAAAGCATTATCCCGTCTTCCAAAAATAACACTGTCAACATTTGAGTGGTTTCCCTCATTTTATTAAATATTTGGTCTTTTAGAAAGTTGTAAATTAATCAGAATTTGGTTAAAAGCTGAATTTAAGAAATAGATACAATGTTGCTTCCTTACTCTAAACTGTTCAGTGGTTTCTGATCGCACTTTGAATAAGATGTAAATATCTAAGTTTGCCCTACCAGGCCCTGTGCCACAGAGCCCTGGCCCCTCCAACCTTACCCCATGGCACTCTCCCTACATTCTGTCACTCGGGTCACAGTGGCCTTCCTCCGCCTCTTTGCTGCCCTTCAGGTCTCAGTTTAAATATCATTCCTCAGAGCAGTCTTCTAAACAAGGCCCCTGGTGTTATTCTTTGCCACAGCCCCTGCATGTTGCCTTCACAGCATCTGTCACCGCATATAGTGGTCTGCCCTAGTCTGCTCTCTGTCTCTCCCTTTCCAGAGTAAGCTCTGTGCAGCAGGGCCACGTCTGACCCGAATCCCGCATTTGGGGCCTGAGAGATAGTAAGCACTCAGTCAGTGTTGGCTGAGTGAAGGAGTGAATGGTGGAGGGGCAGTTCCTTCATGGCGAAGGAGGTAGATGAGACTAGATAACCCCTTGGGTTTCTTCCTTCCCCATAATACATGGTATCCTATGAGTAGCAACTCAGGCACAGATTGACGACAAACTACCATCACATGGACATTAATAAGCCTTCAAGCCGCAGGTTAAATATCCATACATCCAAAGAGGAAGTAAACCTCATTATGAAATCTAATGTTTAATAAATAATACAAATATGTCAGTGTCATATGGTGCCTATTCACATTTTTGTAGAGACTTCCTTACTGACATAAACATTACATATTTTTCCCAATCACAGCAATAGTCATGCCAAGAGAATAGGACATGCAGTATACGCCCACAGCAGAGAATGCAGTATACGCCCACAGCAGAGAATGCAGTATACGCCCACAGCAGAGAATGCAGTATATACCTACAGTAGAGAATGCAGTATACACCTACAGTACGCGTTCAATATAGGACAGTTTTCAGGGAGTGTGAATGACTTGGCCTTGTATAAACGGGCATTTTGAAGATGTTCTTTGCACACAACAGGCACTCAGCAAATGTGTGCAGATAAAGCTGAAGCAATCAGGGGAGCCACGTCCCATCCTCACACGCACCTCTCTGCAGGCAGTTTGAGTGCACTCAAAAGGTACTTGTCCCTAGATGTCACTCTTTTTTTTTTTTTTTTTGTGAGGAAGATCAGCCCTGAGCTAACATCCATGCCAAT